ACCAGCCCCCCCCCCAACCGATAATTAATGAAGCCTAAGGGGTGGAGTTGAAAGTTTGCCCGAATTTTTATGGAGAATTGTAAAGAAATAACCTGATTTTAACATATTTTCTCATAAATCTGCTCGAATTTTCTTGATTTTTCCTAGCGTTTGCCCGAATTTCCATGGTTTTCCAAAATTTGGGGGGTGGCAGTTGCCCCCCCCTGTCTCGTACGCCTATGTCAATAAGGCATTTACAACATGAACATAATACGAAGCCAAAGTGAAAGTGTGAAAGTGAAAGAAACTTTAAAGAAAGCGTGCTAATTCTCGTATTTTACTCGTATGTACTCGTATTTTACTCATATGTACTCGTATGTTACTCGTATGTTACTCGTGTGTACTTGTATGTTACTCGTGTGTTACTCGTATGTACTCGTATGTTACTCGTATGTACTCGTATGTTACTCGTATGTACTCGTATGTACTTGTGTGTTACTCGTATGTTACTCGTATGTACTCGTGTGGTGTTTTAGTCACGATCCTCACATAACACATAAAACTGAGTCACTACAAAAGAAAATGATCTACACCTTTCGAAACCAAGCTTACTGCTTTTCAAATAAAGTATTCTATCTATGTCTATATATAGAAAGCGGGAAGAGATAGGGACACCCGCGCGAGAGAACAAATCCGCAAATTTAATATTACCGATGCAACTCAGATTCTCTATCAGCACTACGCCAGATTGTGCAACAGCACTCTAGAAATTTATTTAAAGATATATACCGGATTATTGTTATAAAGAGATCATCGTTTATCTTGTTAACTATTATTAAACCTTTCCAAAAAACCTTTGCATTCTCGTACACAGAGTCCTTGTTTTCGGTTTTTTCTATTTCGAGTCCGGGTTTTCAAAAGTCAAGTCCGGGTTTTCTTAAACACGAGTCCGGATTTTTTTCGAGTTCGGGTCCGGGTTTTTCTCGAGTCCGGATTTTCTTAGAGTCCGAGTCCGGTCCGGGTTTCGAAGTATGCCTATATTTTATGGCTTAGACTTTGCTCATGTAATTATTAGTTGTAGACCTGTTGTAGTCTATAAAGACTAGTGAGTAGTGTAAGTGAAATTTATAGAAATAGTTACACTCCGATATATTATATTGTAGTTTACATGTATACTAACAGAGTTTAGAATTACAACAGCTGAGCCTGCTTCCTGGGATAACGTATCATATTAAATATATGGTTAGATGTCTCAAATCCATGTATTGTATACCTTACTTGTATTAAAATTAGCGTCGTATACTCATTTTTGTTCAGCTTTAAATTCGCGCATTCCAATTTCGCGAAACTTGTTCGCGCGGCTTTAAATTCGCGCAAGTAATTTTCCGTGTTTGGTTCCTTTTGGTTTGTTTAATTAATTAATAGAACTATAACAACAAATACTTCAATATTTGTCTAAACAAAATTCATGATAACAGTAAAGCGTATAAAGTTCAAACTTCAAAATGTATGGTTTTCATTTGCCTAATACAATAACAATAACTAATTTTTATTAGCATCCCATATATTATAGGTTCGTATCCAATCTCGTTCCCCGAGCATGCCCGTTCGCAGGTTAAGGGTGGGCATAGCTCTGGAGAAATCGAATTGATCACGTTGAATTTCCAACGTGAGTTCTACGCATACTCAGCAATGTTGCAAAATATAAATAAAGTATTTAGAATTTCGCGTCGAAAATTTGATACATTTTACACTGAAATCGAATTGAAAACAACTAAAAATTCTGGGGGAAATATGTACGAAAGCTTCGGATTGATAGAGATACAACTACCTGAAAAATACAAGGAGAACTTCGACGTTTCGAGCGAAGGCGCTTCGATTTGTACTGTTAGTGTTTGTATACATCGTACTTGACCTTTGCTGATAAATATAATCTCCTCAAGAATAAGTATTATATATTTTTATGCTTTAAAATTTACATTTAACTCTCCTGTCAGAATTTATGGTATACGTAGTGTTAAGTACGACAGTATAAAAGGTCAAGTACGATGTATACAAACACTAACAGCACAAGTCGAAGCGCCTTCGCTCGAAACGTCGAAGTTCTCCTTGTATTTTTCAGGTAGTTGTATCCCTATCAATCCGAAGCTTTCGCACATATTCCCTCCAGAATTTCTAGTTGTTTTCAATCGATTTCAGTGTAAAAAAGTGGCAAATTTTCGACGAGAAATTCCAAATACTTTGTTTATATTTTGCAACAATTGCCAAGCATGCGTAGAACTCACGTTGGAAATCCAACGTACTATCTGCCGTTAGCCAATCACAGGCCTGAATCAATTCGATTTCTCCAGAGCTATGCCCACCCTTAACCTGCGAACGGGCATGCTCGGGGAACGAGATTGGTTCGTATCAGGGTTCGTATATCTGACTCGTCCCCAGTCGTCTCTGTGAGCACGTGCGATTTGGAAAGCGCGCGCAGGGGTGGAAGGGAAGGGAGAAGCGAGGGAGACATGTCCTGTTTTCAAGATGGACGCAAAGTCAATGGCGGATTTTTAAGAAACTCATTATTTTGAAAATAGACCGTTTCATAAGACACGTTTCCAACTGTGCCTGTTAAATGTTTGTAACTATATATTTTGGAAGTTTCAAATGCGTGTGTTTACATGCCAAGGCGAGACTTTGAAAATTATATTTTTGAATTTCCGTGGCAAGACAACAGTTTGTTGCGAACGTTTTCTCGGCGAAATTTTTACTAACCTAAATATAAATCCCACTAAAATGTAAGCTTTTCCACAAGCTTTCAAATCACCCGCGTTAGTTAGGGGTTTATGTCGTCAAATGTCTAATTAATATAAGCGGTTGAAGCTCGTGCCTAAAACCAGACATAATAAATTCCGACTAGAATGTGTTTTCCGACGGCAATTTTTACACCCTCGATTAGGCAACGAATTCTCGCTAAATATTCTAGCTACAATATTATAGCTCGTACCAAAATGTAGCTGATTTAACCAGCTATCTAACAATATGTGTAAAATTATTATACCTGTAATATTCGCACAGATAGTGTCGAATAAAAGTCATGTTTATGTTGCATTAAAGGGTATGGGCAATGAAAATTGCTTCATCTATTTTATTGCTTCATCTGAAAGAGCATGAAAAATAAGCCGATTGGCCGTTTACTGCTCTATTCTATCTCATCTGGTTCCGAAGTTATACGCAAAAATGTGCAAAATATAAATTTAAAAATGTTGGAAGCGAAACCAGGATTCATAATTAATTGTGTAAACGTTCTCTGGTTAAAAAAAGATTTATTTATTAACAAGCTTTCGACTGCCAGTCTGCAGTCTTCGACGGGTAGATTTATAATGTGCTAGTGATATAAGATATGATACAAAGTGAATAGTGCTATACAAGAGCGGTTTACAATTACATTTACTGACAAAAGACAATTACTGACAGTTCCGCCTACGTAAATATATTGTGTAGAATTTAAAGTTTTTTGAGCAAAAAGCGATATTGTTCTGGCAAATGTTTTGAGTTGTTATCAGCGTCTTTCATGCATGCAGTGTGCCAAGACTCTAACGTCGATCTGTGTCGATAGCTTCCCTTGTCAATTATTTTTCCGTTCTTAAAATCAATTCTGTGGTCGTTTGCCCACGCATGATTCGCGATATTAAAATATAAATTGCTGATTTAAAATATAAATTGCTGATTCAGCACAACGTGTGACGTCATAAGTGGGTAAGTATGTTTATTGAATAGTAAACTAAAGCATAGCTGAGTTATTATTGGCTCAAATCAAATGAAATTTTGCATACAGATAGTACATGATGAGACGCATGGGAAAATACTTCTAATTTCGTTGTCAAGGCAACACAGTCGTTCCCAGACCCCTTACACTGATTTTGAATAACTAGTTGCATTTCTCTATGTGTATGTCATTTTCGAATTATTATCATGCAAGTAAACTTTCGGCATGCATAGGCATCGTACACATACTTCTGATATTATTTTATTTTTATCAGTACCTTGAATAAAGCTGTTTTATAAAATTGGCACAAGGGGCCTGGGAACGACTGTGTTGCCTTGACAACGAAATTAGAAGTATTTTCCCATGCGTCTCTTCATGTACTATCTGTATGCAAAATTTCATTTGATTTGAGCCAATAATAACTCAGCTATGCTTTAGTTTACTATTCAATAAACATACTTACCCAGCTTATGACGTCACACATTGTGCTGAATCAGCAATTTATATTTTGCACATTTTTGCGTATAACTTCGGAACCGGATGAGATAGAATAGAGCAGTAAACGGCCAATCGGCTTATTTTTTCATGCTCTTTCAGATGAAGCAATAAAATAGATGAAGAAATTTTCATTGCCCATACCCTTTAAACTTTCTAATTATATATTCTGTTTTCAAATTTTGTTTACATTGTGTGATTTTGAGAGGGTCTTAATGGCGGTCTTTGGGTGTCAGTTGTCAGCTAAAATTTAAGCCAGTTGTCAGTTGTCAGTGCGATATATGGCAAGCTGTCAGTAGTCAGTTACTGCAAAAAAGCTGACTCATCATTTTTTCATCATTTCTCAGTTGTCAGTTAGGATATTTCGTCAGTTGTCAGTTAGGATATTTCGTCAGTTGTCAGTCAAAAATTCAGGCAAATGTAAGTAGTCAGTTAACCCCATTCAGACCCTCTTTTGACCCCCTCGTTTAGACAACGTTTTCTCGCTCAATATTGTAGGCATTTTCACAAGCATCCAAACCATCTGCGTTAGGGATGAATGTCGTTAAATGTCGAATTAATATAAGCGGTTGAAACTCGTGCCTAAAACCAGGCATAATATATTCCAACTATATTCCGACGGCAATTTTGACACCCTCGTTTAGGCAACAAATCTCGCTCAAAATTATAGTTGCAATACTAAAGCTCCCGCTAAAATGTAGGCATTTCATGTTGTTAAATTCCAAATTAATATAAGCGGTTGAAACTCGCGTAATATAACAAAAATAGCCTTCACCAGAGTTTCGACTGATATTCCAGAGTTTCGACACAGGATCTGCCGGCATGTAGTAAAACACTAGTGAGCTTAAGCAAGTGACGTTTTTGAGAACACGGACGTCAACCGGAAGTAAAGTTGACGTTTTTCACCAATCACAGCTCTTGACCCAGTCTTCTGACGTTACTCATGCCGTTCGTGTTGTCAAAAACGTCACTTGCTTAAGCTCACTATTGACTACCGGAACACCGGAACACCACCGGAACA